TCTGGGGGCCTCTGGGGGCTTCCTCGGGCCACCCTGCCTCCAACCGCGGTCTCCCTGAACGACCGGGTTACGATTTGGAATGCTTCGGAGGGTGTCTTGGGGCCATCTTGGGCCGCCATGGGGCTTTCTGAGGGCCATCTTGGACCCGTGCTGTGCTGTTTTGTGGCTCTCTTGGACTGCCTGGAAGCCCTTTCGGATGGTTGTGGGGCGATTTTGGAGCCTCCCAGGCAGCTTCGGACGCCCAGAAGACCGCCGTCTTGGAGCGTCGGGAAGCCGAAAAGAGAAGAACCCCAAAATTCACCAAAAACCAGAAAATGAATGATTTTTGCCTCTTGGGGCCTTCTTGGGAGTGCTCTTGGAGGCCTCTTGGGGGCCGTCCTGGAGGCCTCTTGGGCCATCTTGAGGTCACGTCGGTCACTCTTGGAGCGCTCTTGTGCTGTTTTGGGGGTCTCTGGGACGTCTCCGATGACCCCCCTGATCGCCCTAGGTATGCTGGGAAGGCTTGGCAAAACGCCCTGCGAGGCCTGGGGGGCCGCTTCGAGGCCCGTCCGGAGGGTCCCAAAGCCCCAGATCTCCGGAGTCCGGTTTTGTGTGTGTGTGTGTGGTTTTCCCCCCGCCCAGGCTTATAACAATATAGGAAGAGGATTTATATATATATATATATATATACATATATATCTATAGATGTATATCTTCTGGGCGACATGTGTCCATCGCGCGAGTCTTTGAGTCTAAGCGCGCTCCCGTCGTCCCGCCACCTTTCCCCCTCTGGGCCCCCTACTTGATAAGTAATTTCCCCTTGGGGCCGGTGGCGAACGTCCATCGCGCGAGGCTTCGAGTCTAAGCGCGCTTCCCGTCATCGGCTGCGAGAGCACCCAGCGGCAACCCCGGCGCCACTCCTCCCCTGGACCCCTCCACTTGGTAAATATTTCCCCACCGGTCCTGTGACGTGCGTCCATCGCGCGACTCTTCGAGTCTAAGCGCGCTTACCGTCATCCGCCACGTCCCTATCACTGAGCGACCCCACCACCATTCCTCCCCTGGACCCCTCCACTCAATCAATTATTCCCCTCCCGGCCGGTGGCCGACATTCATCCAGCGCAAGACTCTTCCAGTCTAAGCGCGCTTTTTGTCGGCGCAACCCCATTCCTGAGATCTCGCGAGCCTTCGCTAGGCCTACCCGCACGGGGGTGACCCGCGCACATGTGCATATAGGACACACCATACGTGGCTACCACCCTCTGGTGGTTGGCACACACGACTGGCCATGGCCCTCTGGCCACGGGACGTGCGGCATGTCGTTGCAGCCGCGGTGGTACAGGAGTCAGAGAGGACGCAGATAATTAGCGACAGTGACGCGCGTATGCCTGACCGCCCTTCATAGCGGAGCAAAAGGTGGCGACGTTATGCACGGCAATGCGAGTACACAATAATAGGAAGCAACTGAGCACACAGAAGGTGTAACAGGGCGAGCGAAGTTGCGGCCGGCCGAGCCAAATTTAAAGTCACCATCTCTGATACTACCTGTTGCGACACGTATGGGATGGGGACGAATGACCAGCCAGGGTGCAGAAGAGACATAGCTGTACCACCACGATTGAAAATCACAAACTGAATAATCCCATACGACTCTTGACCCAGCAGATGTAATCGTGAGGCATGAGCATTGAGAGAAGTTGTGTGAGACCCAGCTGCAACGCTTCGCCACTGTATCTGTCCCAACGTGTTAGGCGGTCGCCCCAGTACCTCGCCCACCTTCTGGCGAGCGCGGCGCGGGAGGTACTGTAGGAAGTGCCTAAGCTTTGCACTTGCTCGTCTCGGTCTTACGGGTGAGTGATAACCACGAGACTCCAGGGCGGTCGTGTCGCCGCCCAGCGCTCGGCCCTCCAGCACGTCATGTTCTGTTCGGTGGCGATGGCAGCAGAGAAGATGGCAAAATAAGTTGCACGAAGGGGCCTCTCGAGGGGTATTCTGATCTCGCGTGGGAGCAATCCATGATAGAGGAACTTTCCATCCACCCCAAGCCATGAAAGGCGAGCACGATTGTTGTGTATGCTTTCCGATCCTGGACTGTTGAGCGCGTACCATGAGGATTGAACGTGCAACCCAAGCTCAAGATTGATGAGCTGACCAGACAACCCGCTCCATGATTGCCGAGCTTGGTGACTGAACCCACCATCCAGTCCAAGGGTGTTAAACTGTCCACCCATGGTTGTTGAACTGGCTACTAGATCCATGAACTGCCCAGCTGCCTCACGGTCGCAGAAGAGTCGTATTTGCCCTCAGCCGTACAGTGCAACAAGTCAAGAGTACGCCATCGCGCGCTACTTATGCTGCGCGGGGGTTTGCGACCCCGCGGGCCCCCCAGTGTCACCTGCTATCGCTCGAGCCGGGGCCTTCTAATCGCGCTTCCTGTCATCCGCCACGCGCCAATCAAGAAGCGACCCGCCACCGTTCCTCCCCTGGGCCCCTCCACTTGTTGAATATCCCCCCTTCGGGCCAGTGTGCCACGTCCATCGCGCGACTCTTCGAGTCTAAGCGCGCTTCCCGTCATCGGGCACGTCCAGGCGACGGAGCGACCCCGCCACCTTTCCTTCCCGGGATCCTTCAATTTGTCAATATGTTTTCCCAACCATCCTGTGGTGTTGGGTCCTCGTTTTGAAGAGACAGCGCCCCGCGTCCTCCTCTCCTCCTCTCCCCCTCTCCCCTCCTCTCCTCCTCCCATCCTTGCATCGTCTCTGTTTCGGTAACCCCTTACACGTTTCGTGGCCCCATAAGGAGGTCCACCACAGGTCCCACTGGTGCAGTTCGACTGTGGGCGTCACGCCTGTGTCGGCACAACCCTCACATGTTCCTGGGCCCCGCAGGGAGCTCCAGCGAAGGTCCCAGTGGTGCAGTTCGCATGTGGGCGTCACGTTTCTTGGCCCCATAGTGTAGGAAGCTCCCCCGAAGGTCCCAGTGGTGCAGTTCGCATGTGGGCGTCGCGCCCATTTCGGCTCACCCCTCACACCTTTTGTGGCCCCATAGGTCGCAGTGGTGCATGTCGCATGTGGGCGTTACGCCCGTTTCGGCACACCTCTCACACGTTCCGTGGCCCCATAGGAGCTCCACCGAAGGTCCCATTGGTGCAGTTCGCATGTGGGCGTCACGCCCGTTCCAGCACACCCTTCACACGTTTCGTGGCCCCATAGGAGCTCCACCGAAGATCCCACTGGTGCAGTTCGCATGTGGGCGTCACGCCCGTTCCAGCACACCCTTCACACGTTTCGTGGCCCCATGGGGAGTTCCACCGAAGGTCCCACTGGTGCAGTTCGCATGTGGGCGCCACGCCCGCTTCGGCACACCCCTCACACCTTCCGTGGCCCCAGAGGGAGCTCCACCGAAGGTCCCAGTGGTGCAGTTCGCATGTGGGCGCCACGCCCGCTTCGACACACCTCTCACACGTTTCGTGGCCTCATAGGGGGCTCCACCGAAGGTCCCAGTGGTGCAGTTCGCATGTGGGCGTCACGCCCTCTTCCGCACACCTTTCGCACGTTTCTTTGCCTCATGGGGAGCTTCACCGAAGGTCCCAGTGGCGCAGTTGGCATGTGGATGTGACGCCCGTTTCGGCGCACTCCCCACGTTTCGTGGCCCCATCGGGAGCTCCACCGACGGTCCTAGTGGCGCAGTTCGCATGTGGGCGTCACGCCCGCTTCGGCACACACTTCACACCTTTCGTGGCCCCATAGGGAGCTCCACCGAAGGTCCCAGTGGCGCAATTCGCATGTGGGCGTCACGCCAGTTTCGGCACACCCCCCACACGATTCGGGGCCCCGTAGGGAGCTCCACCGAAGGTCCCAGTGCCACTGGGACGGCGTGGTGCAGTTCGCTGGGTTCACTTCGCGGCGTGGTGCGAACTGCACCACTGAGTGGTGCAGTTTGCATGTGGCGTCACGCCCGCTTCGGCACACCTCTCATCCGTGGCCCCGTAGGTAGTAGCTGGGCGTCCCCGCTTCGGCACACCTCTCACACGTTTCGTGGCCCTATAGGGAGCCCCACCGAAGGTCCGAGTTGGAGGGTTCACATGCACCCCCCCCACCTCCCCAAGTCGGAACGCCCCTGACACGTTTTGTGGCGCCATAGGTCCACCGACGACGATCCTCACAGCTGCGGCACTCACAACTGCATAAGGGTGGGTCCTTCGCCAGGCTAATTTTCTAGGCTAGTGACCAACGTCCATCGCGCGACTCTTCGAGTCTGAGCGCGCTTCTCTTCATCCGCCACGTCCTGATCAGGGAGCGCCTCGCCACCGCTCCCCCCTTGTTCCCCCCTCCCACTTGATAAGTATTTCCCCTGCGGGCCCGTGACCAACGTGCATTGCGCGACTCTTCGAGACTAAGAGCTCTTCCTGTCATCCGCCACGGCTGGATGTTATGCACCCCCGAATGGTATGTATGTTAATACTTTGTACGATCTTTTCAGATATGTTACATATTCAGACAGAACGTCCAGCTCGCTTCTCGTTCCCCGAAGACGCTTCCAGTCATACTTTTAGGTATGCCATTGATTCAGCCAGAACGTTCCGCTCGCTTCTCGTTCCCCGAAGACGCTTCCCATCATCCTCCAATCGAATTACGTTTTGCAATCCCGAACCAGCTGTCCCTCATGTCTTAGTCGTTCTTTATTGGTTTCTTACTCAGCTTCCACAATCAAATTTCCATCACCTTCTCGTTCCGAGAAGGCGCCTGCTGTCATTTGCCGAGGGACAAACCTTTTGTAATATTCTGCCAGGTGTCCCTCGCGTCTTAGTTGTTTTTTCATTCCTCACTAGGTTTACATCCGCGCAGAACTTTGAAAGTTTATGCTTGTGCATTTGCTCTTGCTGTATCCTCATATCACTCTACGCATCGTCCTCCTCCTCCTCCCCCTGCCCCTCCTCCTCCTCCTCCTCCTCCTCCTCCTCTGCCGCCGCCGCCGCCTCCTCCTCCTCCTCCTGCTCCTCCTCCTCCGGGGGCGCGCAGGGCGTCAACCGCGTGGACGACTTCGGCCTCCTCACCGAGACCTTCGACCACACCCTCCCGGACTGCAGCTCCTCCAGCTCGGCGGCCTTCCACCCTCTTAAGAAGCCCGAGGACTGGTTCGCCTGCCTCGGCAAGACGGAGGAGTGAGCGCCCGGCGGTGGCGTGCGCGCCAGGACTCGCCCAGGGGGGGGGGGGCTGTGGCGGCGGGCATTTCCACGAGACTTCTCCACGTAAAGCCAACGTTCTGTCGGGCGTGTCCCCCTACAGGGGGAATTTCGACGAGAAATAAAAAATACCACAGACATATTCTAAAAAGGTCAAAGCGTACTAAAAAAATAGTCCCCCAACTATTCTTGGAGTATTTTTTGATTATTTTTGGGGTACTTTTTATTTTTCGTCAAAAATCCCCCTGTAGGGGGACACGCCCGACTTAAACGTAAAGCCAACGCGAAGCAGGGCCAATCAGGGCCAGGCAGTGCGAAGCATGTCTTTCCAAGCAGTGTTTAGGAGTGCCACGCAGTACGAAACAGTGCTCTGCATCGAGTGTCTCTGGAAGAAGGATCATCCCTAGTAGGGGCCGCGCCGGATTCATTTGTCAGGAGCAGAGACAAGCCCCCTTCCTGAAGAGGAAGATGGGGGATGGAAGATCGAACTCATTGGACCACCTGCGCCCTGATGGGCATTGTCGGATTTCAAGCTTCAGTGTTCCCAACCGTGCAGGAGTCTCGTGCAAAACGCCCAGCCCGCCCGAACGACATGTTTAGCGGTGCAACAGGGAGGAGGAGTGGGGGGAGGAGGCGTAGGAGGAGAAGGAGGAGGAGGAGGACTCTGAGGACCGAGGACTCTGATGAGACGGCTGGATTCGATCAGCTCTAGGACGTGGGAGGAGGAGTGGGAGGAGGAGTGGGAGGAGGAGGAGGAGGAGGAGGAGGAGGAGGAGGAGGAGGAGGAGGACTCTGAGGACCGAGGACTCTGATGAGACGGCCTGGATTCGATCAGCTCTAGGACGTAGCCCGACGCGGCCCTACCTGCGCAGGCACCGCAGTGCCGAGCCCGATGGCTCGGCGTTCCGCGGAAGATCCAGCGACGACGAGGGACGCCAGCGACCCGCCCGATGGCAGGCAGCAACACGAGGCGAGCCGGCACAGCGACGAGGAGCGCCGGCCCCAACGCCTCCCGATGGAGGCCACAAAGTGTCGGGGCGGACCTCGCCACCACGACGAGGCAGAACTGAGCCATGACTTGGCCACGGCCACGGCCGGGGGGGAGGAGACGGGACATCGCTCACGCGGCCGAGCGGGAGGGGCGGCCCGCCCGTGCTGCGCCCCTGGCAGCGGGCGCACTCAGGGGCAAGGCCGTTCAATGGCTCCCTGGCCCAACCTCATGACTTGACCATCGGCAGGACCAGCTTGCCGTTCTTCTTCGCCTCGCCCACATTGCTCCCGCACACTGCGCCCTCTGCAGTGCGCGCGCGGACGGCCCTCCTCGGGCCCAGAGGGGCTAGGAGGAGGAGGAGGAGGAGGAGGAGGAGGAGGAGGAGGAGGAGGAGGAGGAGGAGGAGGAGCAGGAGCAGGAGCGGGAGCGGGAGCGGCAGGAGGGGGAGGATGAGGAGGATCGGGAGGAGCAGCAGTGACAGCCAGAGGATGCCGGATACCGAAACATGCCAGGTCTTCTCTTCCGCCGCCCGTCTCCGCCCTTCTCGGCCCTTCTCTTCCTCCCCTCCCTCCTCGCCTGCTCGTTCTCGCCGCCTGCTCCCCCTAGAGCTCCAGGCAGCCCCGACCGAGCTGGCCTGGGAGGCTCGCTGCCTCCCGCGCCCCCCCTCCGTCTCCAGGCTGCATGTAGGGAGAGAATTCGCCGCCTCGTCTTGTGCCCAATTCGTGCGGCGGCGCCCGCGCGCCGCCTGGAGGAGAAGGGTGAGGACGAGCAGGAGAGGTCCGAATGGGGGAGGAGGCGGTCAGAGGGGAGGAGTGAGGGGCGGGGGGGGAAGTGGGGATGACGGGCGGCGGAGCGGATGCGGGGGACACGTAGGGAGGCGATGATGACGACAAAGACGATGGCGATGACGATGACGATGACGATGATGATGCTGCTGCTGATGATGCTGCTGCTGCTGGGGATGATTGATGCTGCTGATGATGATGGTGAGGATGATGAGGATGATTAGGATGATGATGAGGATAATGAGGATTATGAATATGATGATGCTGATGATGATCCTGCTGATGCTGATGCTGATGATGCTGACGATGATGAAGATTATAATGATGATTCTGATGATGATGAGGATGATGCTGCT